CCGTCTGAAACAGCCACTAGAGTGGCTTCCATCCACTGGCCATGACGTGTAGGCTCATCGAGCCCTTCTAACCTCAGGAGCCCCTGCCCTTGGGGATCTCTTGAGTCATCAAGCAGGCGGACCTCCATGTAGGCCCCCCCGGCTTCAAATCCAAGGAGGTAAGTTCCTCCCAGTCAACACTAGGACTTACCCAGGGACCTAGCATGGCTGGAAGCCCACCAGGTCCGAAGCCGAAGCTTCTCTTGAGCCCAAAAGAAGGCTACGGAACACACGCCTAAAGATCAACCGGCCACATGCTCGACACTGCGCAGTGTTCCAATTTTTTTGGCCAAAACCCTAAACCCTCAGCCCACACAAGCATGCTAAAAAGTCACTGGTGGCGGCATGCCTAAGAACATGATAGACTAGAAGCCTGCCAAAGCGCAAAGTCAGACAGCTATAGTTCCCTGTAAGTAGATAGAATATGGCTTTGGGTTTCAGATAGTAAGATCCCCATATACCCCATATTTTATCTACCTCAGGGGGACTATACACGCAATCCGAGCGTTGATGAGTCGGCAACATGAATTGATCGGCGCAAGGTGAAACTGGAAAGCCATATCACCCGGCTTCTGAGTGACGGCTTTTCAAGTTACGAAGGGCTGTGGGGACAATGCTAGGGGCCATTGAGCTATCATTATTACTACTACCTTTGTTATCGGCTATTCTGCAAATCATAGAAAACATCTATGATAATCCAATGAGACAAGACATTAGAAGAGAATGAGAATGAGCTTTACCGAGGTCAGCTCACATGAGAAAATGAATGGACCGGGTTGATGGGTTTTGTAATGACAATGTTCACTCAAATCTCGCTTTGTTCTCGTTCCTCTCACTTTTCCGCGGAAAGCATTGCGGAGCGGAAAACCACCAAGCTTTCTTCCAAAAACATGGCAGAACAAAATGCAAAAGCTGAAAGTTGGCAGATGATCCGTTCTTGCTTTGGCACCTGCCCGGAGCTTCAGCTTCAAGTTCGATCCAGAACCCTGTTTGAAATGGAGCGCATCTTAACCCCTTTACCCTAAACCCTTAAACCCTTTACCCTAAACCCTAGCCTATGGCAGGCGACAGATCCTGATAATCCCTGGGCTCTCTGAAACAAACTTCTCTCCAACAGGATCATGATGGATACTACAGTTACTACAGGGGCCTAAATAATTACCAATATTATTCTGAGGTCCATTTAAGGTACCATAGACCATAGTCATATAGGGAATATGGAACAATGATATTGGTAATTATTCGTCGCACCTGCCTGGTTTCAGCATGCATTTCCTATCTTTGGCTCGCATCTGCTGTTCTTGGCCGAGTAATATCATGAGCTGTGGGTGGACTGCCGCGCCGTTGCAGGTCTGTTGCAGGTTAGCTACTGGGTGTTTTTGGCTCTTGTATACACAGCGGCCAGGCAGTAGGCCGCTCATGAACGTGATGATCACCCATGCAGCCCTGGGCTTTCAGCAAGCGTCAATGTGGCAGAGATAGCAAGAGCAGCAAAGAATGGCGACTGGCAAACAGGCAGCTTAGGATGCAGGCATCGGTTCACCTGTTAAGATTTTACCTTCTTTGTCTCGGACCTTATGCATATTGCTTGTGTGCTCCCTGCGCTGTAAGTAAGATGCTGAGTTTGTATGACCGGTTGTACAGGCCTGCTGGCTGCCGGTCTGGCATGGTCCAGTGCCTGCGCTCTGCAGCAGCATTGATGACTTTGCTTACGCTCTCAGACTTGCAGCGCTTCCCCCAGAATAGGCTCCACATGCTGCCAAAACAAGGTCTATTCAGGCAAATTGTTTGCAGCAAGCGGGGTGTAGAGTCTCGAATCGCACACTTCAACCAATCAAGTACAACATGCGAACAACACGACAGAAGCTGTAAAGACAACCACTGCAAGCCCAAAACCATGTAACCCTATATGTACATATATATATATATATAGCCTACAATCCCTATATAACCCATTATGGTAGTTTCCGTTTTCTTTCCATTGTCCCAACCCTAAAAGCCTAAACCGCTATATACTATAATAGTTTCCATGATATTTTCCATTATCCCCATAAATCCCCAAGATACTATAGTAGTTTCCATTTTCTTTTCCATTATCCCTAGATGCATCTCTTGTTTTGCAAAGGTGCCTGGGCCAGGTCCGCTGAAGTTTCCTCGCAGCACAAGAGCCGGACTCAAAGCACCCAATGGGTTCAGGGTTTAGGCCCAAAAGGCCATAGTTTGAATGGTTTCTTGTTCATCTTTTTTTGCATTTGGGCTCGCAAATAGAACTGGCAGCTAAAGCCCTTATACTTGGGAACCTGTTCCTTGTCCCTAAACCCTGAACTCCAACTGTTCCTAGTCCTAGTCCCTTATCCTAGCATTTTTGGCACAACTGTCAACTCGTCACCCCGTGACCGGACAGAGGTGCAGCAACCCGCCTCAACCTTGCTCGCTGCAATCAAGGCCTCTGCAGAAGCTACTGCAAGAGCCTACATGGGGTTGTATGGGTTGAGGGGTTAGGATTGATGATCCCTAAGGGGAGGGGGTTGATTAATCACGGGTCTACATCACCCTATACCATTATGTTATAAGGAATCTGGGACCATGATATGTGTATTCTGATTTGGGCTTCTAGCTTACCCAGGGCAAGTTCACAAAACCCAGAACACAGGGGCCTCATGTTTTGGAGTTGTTCCGTGTCGTCAGTCCACTAGGGAACTACAGACTTGGTAACTTCGTGGTATATCTTGGCAGCAAGGAGGATCATCAAGTTGCTGCTTCTGTCTTTTCAGCATCGAGCGAGCTTGTGCAGATCTGCAAGCTGTAAAGATCGCGTAGCATGACCAATCACATGGAAGTTGTCAAAATTACAGGTCCCAATCATACGGTAAGCATGCGGTCCCCGACAGTAGGGTAACCCAAAAGGGCTATAGTTCTCACACACGGGATGCTTGTGCTCCAAGCCTTCTCAAGAGTGTCACGCGTTTGCGTTCGAGGAAGGTAATTCATCATCACTACTGCTACTTATTGCGGCAAGGGTTGCTGGGTTGCTGTTCACGAGGCATTTTCCAGAAACTCATCCAGCTTTGACATCTTTAAACAGAATATGCACAACAAACGCTGCAAGCAAACATGGTTCCAGCTATCACTTACAAGGCCGTTACAGTAATTTTTGTGAGGATCGTAGGCTGGGGTACCCTTGGATGGGCATAAACCCCCCCAACCCTTACCCCCAACCACTGCTGAAAGGTGGAAACATGCGTTGGCATACTCTCCTTGCCCCAACCGCTTGGGGGCCTCCAGCTCGTGCACCTTGATCAGAATGTGCTCAGCCTCCTGCAGCCCAAGTGTGCTCAAGAAAATACTATATAATGGGGTTATATAGGGATAATGGAAAAGAAAATGGAAACTACTGTTTAGGGTTTAGGGTTAAGGATGGTTAAGGGTTTAGGGTGGATATATACTTACTTCCTCCACCACTCAGCACCTGCAGGGGCAATCTGTTGGCTATGGTCCTTCAACTTGTTGTTGAGCTGTGCAGCGCTCAGGGCAGCTTTCACATCAGCCAGAACTTGGCTTAAGGTCCTACAGAACTCTCAACTTCAAGGGACTGAGCATGAAACACCAACAACTGAGAAGCTGCGTTGTCTGGAAAAACTGGGCGAATGGTGCACAGTGCAACGGACCTGTCCTGGTGTCAATGTATTTTGCATCAGGGTCTGCCTATTCAGCCATCCAACAGGCACACATGCCATAACGTTGTACTACTCCACCCGTCTGGAACAGCTGAGAATTGGAAGCCAGGCAGACCTCCAGGTCATGCAGGAGGCGCTGCACTTGCGCCTAGGCAACTTGCTCTGCTTAAAAGCTCGCTGGCAGTCCTGGACCACACACGATCATGACAGCAATCTGGATTGATCTGCCGGCAGGACAAATGGTTATTCACGTTGCTACTGAAGTAGAACTGCTTTAGCCAGCCGCTACGTGCGGTCCAGCGCGGCAGCTGCAGGCATGCAAGCTTGGTGTCCGACGATGTCTTTTTGTGCTGGTTTGTCACTTCCCAAGTTTCTCAAGCCTGCATCAGCTCAGCATGGCAGTTTGGGCAGTGCTGGCTCCATATTTTGCATATCCATCCCAGCTCTCAACATCAGCGGAAACCTTTGCCCAAGGGAACAAAAGTGCATTTTCTGAGGCAAAAGCCGAGGATTTGCTCCGTGACGTCATGCGCTAGTCGAGCTTCCCTTACAGGTGGTGTGGCATCTGTGCACCGCTATCTGCACTGGTAGCTCCGGCCAGTCTTGCTGTATGGTGACATCCTGTAGCCGCAAGATACATGGCTGGCAACCCTGACGTACGGAGTCCACCTCACCACATCTCAACAGCAACGCCGGAAAGACTTGGACGATACAAAGCCTTCAACGTTAGCTTGTGCCGGTCTTTGCGCAAGCTTGACAACGCCTGATCAAGTGCCCTGCCTTATAGACCGCGTCAATGATTCTGCCGCACTTTTCAGCAAGTCCTCAGACAGGACAGGATGGCATGCACGGCCCCTTCGAGCACATAGCTGATCATACTTGTAGATGATGCTAACAGCGCAGAGCTCTCCCTCCCACACTTTGATGTTATGTGAATTCTGTGGCTAAGGTCGACGAAGCCTACTTCAAGCTCTGGCTTGCACAGCGAGTCTTTCTTGGCCGGGCCGCGCGTTTTGATGCAGAGGTCCCGGTCGTCTTCTTCTCATCTGCACAGGGCTATCTAGAAACCACATGAGGCCAGAGGACGTAAGTGCAGCCTCCGTCTCACATGGCGAACTCTTTGTTGGCAGCTGCACACTCAATCAGTTCCAATCAGTGAAACTACAAATGTACAAGCAATCGCTTAGCCAAGCACCAGAAATTCTCAGCTGGCATGCTGCCATGATTGGCTTAGCTTTAACAGTAGCATCCTCTGCAAGTTGAAGCTGGGTTCAGGTGCATGGATCAAACCGCATAATGCAGGATGCTCAAATCAAGAGTGGATGTTGCCTCCTTCATCTTCAGCATGAGTTCCTCAGGTGTACCCTTCGCACCGTTCACTGCAACAATCCTGTCGTGAGTTTGCACGGCATGGGCAGGCCTGCGATCATTCCACTGGCTTAAAAGCCCCGCATTGATGTTTGATATCCACGGGGCTGCCGAGCCCACTTTCTTGTAGTTCAGGATCACACCAATCTCACCCGGCTTCTGTAGTTTGACCTGCCTCTCACACGGCCTCTGGACAGTGATTGACATGGTTTCCGTGTCAGCTGCCAGAGCCTTCACCAGATCTGGTGCTTGACCCTTCGTGCCGTTCACCTCTAAGATACGATCAAACACTTCGACGCGGTTTTCGGCTGTGATGTTATTCCACTCTGCCACAGCGCCATCCTCGGCAATTAGCAGCGGCACATGCTGCTATCCATTCCACACAGGGTTAGCCAGCACAACTCTTCAATCCTTGATGCGCGACAAGCTGCTTTAATTGTCCTGACAACAGCGCAATCGGGGTCTGTCCCGTCAATCTGCAGTCCATGCGGGCCATCTTTACCTCAGCTTGAAGCCTTCTACTGGAGTAGCATTTATACTGTCAGTACTATTATTGCTATTCTTATTATTCTTGCTATTATTACTATTGTTTCTGTTGCTACTATTACTATCATTTCCAGTTTTCGTAATTTCCCACCCTCTGTCTGCCGTAGTTCAAACAAAACTGCCTGCGTGGCCTTGCACTCGACATTACTTGACAAGCTTGGCTGTTGAGTCAGGTACTATGATGCTTGCCACGCTTGCCGCTCAAAAGGCACAAGTATACAGGGGTCAAGGCAACATTTACAGCCTCCTTTGCCAACAAAACAGTGTGCGCAAAACTCCCTCAGCTGGCAGGCAGCTTGAAGTTTACTTGTTTCCTGTGCGCCATCAGATGGCTGAAAAGAACGCGCTCGCCCAAGTTGCTCAAGTTGGATGTTGAGTGCTTGTGAAAATGGGAGCTATCGGCCAGACAGGGCATGGGTCCTTAAAAGCCCAACTTTGCGCAACAAGTTCCTTGCCCGCCATAGCCTCCACGAGGGGTTGCCACAGCTAAGGCCTGCTTACCCGTCGCGAGTGCAAGTCATCCAGTGTTTTGGTGGCCCTGTGACAGAACGGCCTGCATATGTGGGGCGCGCTGCAGCCTCGAGATGTTGTGATTTCTTGATGCGAAGATGTGCAAAGATTGCTTGAAGCGTCTCATCAGAGAGTGCAACATTATGCAAAGACTGTAGGGCCTGCTGCTCTCAGAGTTTTGAAGTATTCAGCTTGTTCCTCTTTCCTTCTCTATGCTATACGCAATCCGAAGATTGCACGCGGGTGAGAAAAACAGCTAGGTCTTTCTTTCTTTTTTCATTCGGGCTATGGGGAAACCAAAGGTCCCCCCGGGCGTCCTTGCCCAGCTTCTGTTGGGCTGTTTGGTTGGTAAGAAGGCCACCCCTCTTTGCTCACACCTTTCTTGAAACAAGCTTGACTAGGAAACATTGCTGATCCTTTCCTCTTTCTTGGGGTCGCGGGTTTTGGTCTTCGGCTTAGGTTTTTTGAGCAGCTAGAGAGCTAAGTAGCCACTCGTCAGGCTTCGGGGTTTGACGCGCACGGACTTGCTTTCTGTGTGTTAGGGAATAATGGAAAATGAAATGGAAGCTAGCTAGCTCTTCTTCTACTGGCCGTGTGAGAGCCCTAACGGGCCCCCACGAGCGGATCACCCGGTCACCCCTGTGAGGACCAGAGCATTAGAAATTCTTCTTCCATATTGGCCCCCCTGCACTAGAATCACTAACCCAATAAAGTAGGAAAGCACTGAGAGGCTCCCACATGGACTAGGAATCTCCTCCCTACTCCAACGGTTGGTGAGACGAAAGCTACCTCATGTCTCCCCTCTTTACCGTGCTACTGAGGTCCCGCGAGGTTTTGCGACAGGCTGTGAGGGCGGGCATCAAGCATTTCTCAACAGGGCATACGCTAAGACAGCCTGTGCCGAAACAACAGGAAAGCCCACACCGACGTCTCGTTCATTCTTTCTCTCTCTCTCCTTCTTCTTCGGGTGATGGAGGGGTCTACACCCCTCCCGGAGCACTGCCCCGCGCCCCGCAAGTCTGTCAGCATTGGGTCGGTAGCCTAGAGGACCAAGGAGTTCCAATCCCAGACCCACATTCAGACTGTCACAAGCAAACAGAACAACAGATGAAGTAGCGATGTGACGGGTCCAGGCTTGAGATCCCTTCCTGTTCAACAGGGCTGTGACACTTCATCCCTGTCGATGCTCACTGTATCTGGATGCTCCCTAAGTGCATTCGGTTTTTTCTTCTTCTTCTATCGGCTATCGGGTCTCTCTCTCTCTCTCTTTCTTCCGGGCGATGAGAGAGGCGAGTCGCCACGACTTGGCATCACTGCCGCTAGCGGATGGCTTTGCGAAACTACCACAAAGATTTAGGCCCCCGTTGTGGGCTGTCAGTTCCCCACCCACGTCACTCTGTCTTTCAGGGTTGGTGAATGACTTTCTCTCTTCATGCGCACAGTGAAGCTACCGCTGGGGGCACTGGGATCACTCCCAGACCCTTCTAAGGCATTGCCTTACAAAGATACTTCATAGCTGGGGGCTGGGCATTCAAAACACGGATACCGCGCTAAGCTATACCCATATTCCATACATACTTTGCCCTGTTCCTGTTCCTGTGAGCAGTAGTGTTTGGTGGACTACCCTTTGATCACAGGCTCAGGAAAGTGCTGCTCAGAGCATCTCATGCACGAATTTAGGGGCTGTAGCAAAAACTCATTCTGAGAGGGGCACAGTGCGCGTCAATCCCGAGATTCTCCGTAAAGTCACCACTTCTCTCTGGGTTTCATTGGCTTTGTTGTGTTGCTGGGAGCCCGTCAGTGTCAAGGGATGCCACTCACCTTCAGCATCTTGGAAAGGGACAAGTGCACTCAAGCAACTGTGTCATCTATGTGTTCCCATCAGGCTGCGCCGGCTCCGCTCGCCTGCATCTTTTCGTTTTCTCGTTGTTTTCCTTCCCCACCCCTTTCTGAGTTGCCCAATTCTCGTCTCTCTTCTGCAAAGTTCCCCAGTCATCTGCCCCCACGCGTCTCCCACCCAAAAGCTCCCATGGCTCGGGCTCTGAGACGAAATTTGCCTTTGTGGAAATCGAAGAGTTCGGGGCGCCACAGGAAGCTGTTGCTCCTAGTTTGCCTGGTTGCTTGCTGAGTGCTGGTCGCGATAATTCTCTGCACCCATACCTCATATTCGCCTCTGTACACGATCTTGGCAAATTTCCACGGTTCCCTTGCTTTTCGCCTATCGGGATTGTCAATCTTTCCTCGCACGCATTCTATAGTCCCTGTTTGCGTTCAGCCCCAGTTCCCTGGCCGGGGTTGTCCTCATGTTCATCCGTCAAGGTTTTCACTGCTTTCGCTGCTTCTCTCACTCCAGGTCTTTCATCCAACATCTGCAAGTATGCTGCCAAGTCCGTCACCTCGTATCACTAGGTTCAGCTCGTCTTTTTTTTCTATTATGAATCTCACGCACTCCCCAGGGAGCGCGCAGGGGCCAACCCAAAGACTGAGCCGACCAGGTCTGCCTAGGAGGACCGGGGTGCCGCGAAATTACAACCAGCATGACTCAGCATGACATTACGCAATCGAGCAGAACACATCTCCAAACATTGCAACAAGAGTATGGTGGTTGTTTACCGTCTCCCTTGCTCAACTTGGTTGTGAATCTTGCTCCCGTCTGCGCGGGACTAACAGGTTGATGAGTGATAACACCTGTTACACTTTCGGCACAATGTCCACACAGCACACGTGTTCCTTTTCTGTCTCTGTTATCTTCTCACAGGTGTTTTCTCTTTGCTTTGCTTTGCTTTGCGT